CAGCGAAATCAAAGACAGCAACTTCAAATCTTTCTGCCGAAGCGCGTGGAAAGGTTTTGACTTTTCCCTGATGAAAGACTACAATTTTTGGATTATAACTTTCATTTTCGTGGTTAACCGAATCAATAGGGGTGCATGGGTCATTTACTTTGTTCCACACGCCGTTACCAAGGGTATTGACAATAATACAGCTGCTTCCATGGTGGCAGCGGCTGGATTGGCCCATTTGATGGGTGTCCTCTTGTCCAGTATGGTTGTATTCAAAAAGATTGTCACGAGTACCAGCGTTATGTTGGTAACCGTTGTCCTCGTATCCTCTTCATTTATCGTTGAACCACTGCTGACCTCTGGGTGGTTGATATCGATAAACGCCATTGTTTATGTAGCTGGAATGGCAGCGGTTTTCGCCATTGGTGATGTCATGGTGAAGGAGTTCTTAGGGATCGACAGAATGGCCAACGCCCTCGGCTGGATGGGCTTCTTGTCCGGAGTCTTTCGGTTTTTTTCCGGATTTGTTCCAGGTATGATCCTCTCTATTAAGATTAGGAATGGCTTTTAGGGGTACATCTTAGAACACAAGAAGAGCCATCGGTACCAATTTAAATGACAGGTATGACGTATCGTTAACATTGAAATCAGGTATACATATACTTTCCACATACATGTACCTACTTCGATCGGATAACAAAATTGAATCTTTACGTTTGCTTCCACCATGACCCAGAAACATGCAGTAAACGGTTTTAACAAGTGTTCTGGTTTTTTTTTTCAGGCTGGATTTATGATCACTCTGGCAGTTACGATCTGGCTTTCTTCTGCCTTGGCGCCGTCCAGATGGTCTCGGCAGTTCCACTTCTTTGCTTGTGTCTGCACAACAGCAACCCTTGCAGAAAATCCTAGTGATAGTGGCGTTACGTTAACAAGTGAGAAAGGATTAATCTAGTAGAAACGTTTAACCATATGATTAAATAATACACAGAGGCCTAACAGGACCTGACAAGCCTATTCCAAGGAGCAGCGGCGTATCCGTAGCTTTTAGTGGGGGGGGGGGAGAATTCAAAAGCGAATGCGGTCTCAGGTTCATTCAACATGATGTTGGGGAAGAAATTATATCAGAACCTTACTTACGGCCTCGACAGTTTTTGCCTCTTTTTCGTGGTGTTGTTTTCTACTTGATAAATATTTGATAAATAAGAATACCGATTACTTTCTTTCCCACTCACCTTTGAACTATTATTTGTAAAATAAATAAATAAATAAATAAAAATCCGCAGGGGGGTTGCCCCGCTGGATACGCCACTACCTCGGGGCCGTATTACTTCCCTTGGCGTGTCTGGGCAACTGCGACAGAAGCCGCTCCTATAAACTCGATATCAACTCTACATTGTAACTTTCGTTATAGGCGAGGCAGGAGCCTGACGTAACGAACGTCTAATAATGTTCACGTAAGCCAATTTTAGGCCAGCCAGCCAATCGGAGCTGTATTGGATCAACGGGGCCGTTGAATGGTCGAAGCCGTCAGCGGACTTTATACACTTAGAAGGTACACCCTGGTTAGTCACAACAGCAAGAATCACCTTGCATTTATTTAATCGTTTGCTGCAGTATTGTTAGACCAGCCAACCCTATATCATATCCTCCATTATCCAGCATTATGTTCTCTTGATTTCTAATTTCAGAAAACTGTCACCATTACTAGACCCGTTTATATCCGTGTCCCTAAATGTACATTTTTTAGAGTAAGCCTGCATCCTAAAATCCCACGTTGGACGGGTCAAACCAATTCACGGAAGAGGGGCTTTCGGTAAATGAAAGAAATGACATTGTGATATTCCTACCAATCCTACGCATCACTGCTAATGTCAAGTGGTTTACTGAACATAGTTACGGTACATCTAGGTTTGTGTTATGAGTCATCTAGCTAAAAGCTCCGTTATTTTCCCGGGCTGCATATTTCCCTTGACAAACGATGACGAACATTTTGATTGCTTAATGGCAGACATAACTTGCATATTAGCGACCGGTTCAGCGATACACACGCTTATATTTATATATGAGCGTATATCTATATATACGAGCAGCCAGTTCGGTATCCGGTTCGTAAGTGTGACGTCATTTCAGTTTAAACCACGCCCACTGCACATGCACTCCACCGAGAGTTACATGCATTGCGGGGGGGCGCAAGGGGTTTGCACGTGATGTGCGCACAACAGTCTGAAAGCCTATTCCATTCATTGAAAGGGGGTGTCCATAAGGAACTAATTCATTCAAATTTACAATTTCCAGCGTTTCCACTATCTACATTGTTCATCGACAGAGGTCCATCTTCAAGCAGCTAAGAAACAGGGGATGTGCACGCCATCGCTGCATAATACTGAATGAGAAGAATTTGAACGTAGGGGGCGCTTGTCGCAAAACACCCTTCCACCCCCCCCGTGCATTCACTGCCGTTTACATGGAACCATGGAACCGGAAGTTAACGCACAACTTCAGCGATCGTCCATAGGGAGACTTCAAATCATGGCGCGTCGGACTTTGTGACGAGGTCACTTACGAACCAGATTCCAAACAGTGCGTGCCGAGCCCAATATGAAGTGCGTCCAAGGTCGTGTTCATCTGAAAGAATGTCAAGTTTGTAGTTTCAAAATCTGCTAAGAGTACGTAGGACAAGAAGTTGAGCATGTGACTTAAGGCGTTAGCAGGGCGTTAGTGTGAAAATAATTATCTCATCACTTCAAACTGAAAATCAACAAGGTGAGACGAGTTTTAGTTACAAACGAAGTGATGGGGCGATCACTACATCACAAATCTTGATGTACAGGTCATTAAAAAATTTACTGGGTCATTTGTGCGAGATAACATCTTTGGAGTATTTTAATAAATCGAAGTCAAATAAAGAAGGAAACTGATCATCTCGAAACTTATCCCCTCTTCTTCCAGGATGACGGTGTCATTGCTTTGAAACTTCTTGACATAATGCATTTGTATTTAATAAGTGGTTTTCATCTGATATCGTGAGAATACAGCAAACTAATCTCAAACGTAAAACATTAACTGACTTTGATGTGCCACGTCAGGGTGCACTTTCATATTATGACATCAACAATCCTCGTATAGTGCTCAGCATACCACTCTCAACATTTTTTGTGAGTTGGCTGGCTGTAGAAAAATTCTTTCGATTTTGAGTTATCATCACGTATCACTGTACTTCCGGTTACCCTGGATGCCAAGGTCACGTGACTTTCCTCTGCAATCAGTAATTGTGCCCAAGATAATGGTCTACTACGTTTCTAAATATCCAATTGCTTCCTCATTCAAATCAAGTTACAGTTGGAAATTCTTGTTTGATGCCTGACGTGTCACAGTGACGTCACGAAGGCACAAATATTTTGACATCAGAGTAAGATAGTGGAGGTTTCGAAGTATCAAAGTGTTTGAAAGATTTTAACCGTTGTATTAATCTGAGTGTTTACAAATTTAAATTGTTCTTGAAATTAGACCCTTCATTAACCTGGAAAGGGAAAGTTAAATGACTTATATACCCAAATAAATTGGTTGCCCAGCTTAAGATCTATCAGATCCCAAAATACGAACACCATACCTTTATCAGTTCATGAGATACAGCTGATAGATTTTGGTTATTTTTAAACTAAAATTGTTAGTAATTCAATACCTCTTGCATCGTCTTGACGTTACATATTAGTTTGCATGACTAGTGATAAGCGTTACTGTTCATGTCACGTTTTGATAAAGTTTAAAATCTTGGGAGTATGAGTCCCTAGCTGGACCAAGAGAGGGCACTTTTCCTATCAACAGGGGCTCCTTTGGTGGGAAGTGCACTTAGCTGGTTCACAAACGAATATGAAATGTTCGCGTTGCGGTCGCGTCGCAACCAACAAAATGAGTGCTCCCCACCAAAATGACTCTTTTCAACCGATGAGGGGGTGCTTCTGCTCAAGGCAGATTATTACCGTCCAGAAAAAATGGGAGAGACATGGACCACTACAAACCCTAAAAAGGCATTGAAGAATATCAGGAGACTGCACACCGATAAAGGCACAGAATGTTATCAGCGCCCACATGAACACATATTTCACTCCCATTCATAAAGCCTTTCAAGTAAAAAAGTTAATAAAGTTTTAAACTTTATAAATTTCCAGCGATTTTTTTCCGAAATTTTTACTTTATTTTTCCAAACACCCCTCAGGCCATTTTATGGTATACACCTCTTGGGAGTAATTGCAGAGAATCTCCTTATAAGGAAATTGTTGTGCGTGTGGTGTATACCGCTTGAGGTGGCGCAGTGCGCGATGAACCACGAAGTGAGTCTCATTGGTAGTAGTAGTAGTAATGCGCAAACATAAGTGAAGAATGTGAACGTTCAGATATAATACACACGTTTCACACTTACACCTACAGGTACATGTATCCACACATTTAATACACGTAATCCTCTCGCTTTCATCTGTCACCTCCAATTAAAATTAGTTTCACCATCGCACTCATGCATTCAGTATACCAAATGTCCGTGTGCCCTGGCACATTCACCTGCCAGTTTGTTTCTAACAATGGTGAGTTTGTTTGTGCATTCAATTGGGGACCCCTCTATGGGGACGCTTTAATTTGCAGCTAGGCTGTTGATGTCAAAACTGACAGGAAGCTGCGTGGCTTCAAGATAGGGATGTCAATAAGTGCACCAGTCAACCATTGGGCAATGGTTGCACAACAAACGTGATATGTAGACTGAGGGTCTTTGGCGCCAATCTAACGACGATGGGCGCGTCCACGTGGAAAAATAGCTTCTATTCAATAAAGTCCTGTATGGTTTCGCTTGCCTTAGCAAGATCATTTAAAAAGAGGCTTGCGCACGGAACATGTGAGGAGCAGCACAGCGGAGTGTGATTTTGGTTCAGATAAGGTCGCATTGCGCAAATTTCAACAATGAATTACCATGGTCGGGAATACCTACAGTATCGACGAGACTGCAACTATATACTTTTTGCATCATACAAGACTACTTCGCCTTATTAGAACGTTCTCATCAGCTACAATGGACATCACAGTAAAGCTCGCCAAATAACAACGCCACGATTTGCATTTCCATTGGGTGCATTCGATTAGCTTCCCTGAATACACCAGTCTTTTAGTTCAAAAGAGCCCAAAAAGTTTATCCTTGATGGTGCGTTACCGGATCCCTTGGATAGGAAAAACAACGTGCCAAGAGTTAAGAATTCTCAATCTGTTTCGTCTTTTTACTTCTTAATAAAAGTCAAATGGAAAAGGCCTTCGTAAAATATTTGCTGGCGTATCAATTTATAGAGACTGAAAAATTACCTGACATAAAAGAGATACATCCTACCAAAATTAACCTATCACTTCCAAAGATCTAAAAATGCATGAAGACCGGGCACTTCAGTTTCCTCGTAAGCAGATGAAGAGTAACGAAATTATGTATTCTGGCAATCGCTCGGTAAAAGCCAAAATAAAAAGAGATACAAATATTTTAAGCATTTAAGCATAAGAAAGTAAACGTAAACGGATAATCTGATTTTATGAAATATTTCAAAGTTAAACTGAAAATTTAGTGACAAGAACTATGTCAGGTAATAATCTAGAGTCCATTGACTGCAGGTAGTTAAATCTTTGCAACGTTGTACAGTCTCATTTCACACAAGTACATGAAGTGAAAACAAACTCGCATGAACAAGGAGACCTACGAACAAGAGTGAAAAGTCTTTTATGAAATTCGCTTTTTAACTATCTCCCTATCTTCCTAAAGTGTCTCGGGCGGTGGAGCTTCAGCTACAGGGATCATTCTTTCAAAACTTATCAAACATAATATGGTGGCTCGATGTAAAATTGCCACAGGTGGACCGCGCGAGGGTTCCGGGAGGTTGCTGCGTGGCAGGCTGCATTGACCCATGAGTGAAGCAGTTTTGGACTTTCTGAAGCTTTACATCAAAAGTGCGGCGACGGAACAATGCAAATTCAGCCTTGGTCCAAGGTAAGGGGTGAGTCGTGATCTAAATAGAGGTATTAACAGCAAGGCCGAATAATGGTCCATGCGTAACGGTCATCAGTGACACTGGTTTGGAAACGGACATGCTTGAGTGGTGTTAGGGCACTGACCACGACACTTTGAATACGTTCCTTCACTGTAACAGGACAAAATAATTCATGAATTTACTATTTACTTTTGGACTGGAAATACTACCTAGCATAATGAAGAAACAATGGGACAGAGAGAACCCCCCCGGCCTTTGTGTTGGTCGTTGTTATACTGGTATCTCGGAATTCTTTTCAGACATCTGGGGGGGGGTGTTAATTGACAATAGGCTGGGGTGTGTACGGTATAGGGATTGAACTTGTTGGGGGGGTACCCCTCTGTCCCATTTCGTGCCTGGTATACTACCTACTTATTGTGGTCATCGCAGTTGGAGCATATGATGTGTGCAGTGTCGACCATAAAAGCAGAAGGCAGGGCAAAAGGCATTCCACAGTATTGGACTGGGTGGAACTTGTGAGAGACGTGTGCACTTGCGGTGATTGTGCGGAATAGTTACATGCCGTGAAACTTAACTAAAAGGCAACATGAGGGTGTCAGGTCCCGGATTTTTAGCGACAGTTTCTGTCTTTCTGCAGTTTTTTGTAAACATAACCACCGTGAAATCTCTTGGCATGATGTTGGTGGCCATGCAAGAGGAGTTTGACTCCGACACCTGGGTGCTAGGTACGGTCTTTGCGGTCATCGAGTGTGTGAGTGATCTCTTGGGTGAGCATATATTTCTTAAGGCTATCATACAGACTTGATGACAAGTTGTTAGATATGTTTCGTCCATGAACTTCAGACGAAAGCGGTGGGCGCTGCTCTAGTCTAAGATACTGGCCAAGTTTCGATTATAACGACTTATACTTCTCGTATTGTTGTGCGGGCAACGCATATTCGGTATATTTCTGGGGTGTGATCCAATCGCGTAGCGCCATGCAAACGAGACGACTCATTCACGTCTTCCCTGCATGGTAGGCATATCGTTTATCTGATGAACTGAAGCAAAACGCATCAGTGTGAAATAGTTTATTCATTTGAGTCGTCACTGTCTTATAATTA